ATTGACGTGTCCTTTTATTGGACTTTGCAATATTTTTCTTGTTTGCCCAACTAAATTCTAAGCGTCCTAAGGTCAGGAAACTTGCATTATTTTATTGTCCCTAGTATTTGCGACTCTGTTATGCACATGAGAGTCTCCTGGACGGGGAAGGTCACGTGAGCATAGCAAACTTTTTTGAGTGAATGAGCGTCAGGTGCTCTGTGAATATGTGCTGGCTTCGTAAGCAGCGCACAGGTCACCTCCCTCTCGTCCTGTTCAGGCCGTGGTCATCAGTGGAAGCTGGACCCAACTCGAAGGTCATTTCAGAACCCTAGAGACCCAACTCCTTTAGAGGTTTTGGTATAATATAACTGAGGGCCGGAGGGGAAAGCAATCTTATTTTGAAGAAATGTCTTTGGGTCATTTATTCTTTTTCTCCCTTTGGAAGGAGCTGAGATTGTCATAGACATGGAGACCGGGAAGGATCACTGGGCGGGACCTGGTATTTCACAGACTGGTGGAGAGTCAGGATGCCCACATTCAGAGTCCCTGGAAATTCTGAGATAGTGAGTCCAGGCTAGCGCCCGGGGCCATCGATTAAGACAAGGCCTCTGGTCTCTGGCTGCCAGACAGATGGAAGGCTCTATGATGGGACACGACTCCCAGAGACAGTGGGTGTGACACACAGAAGGCGAGCAGGACCGCTCTGCGAGAGGCCACGCGTCCCCAAGTGCTGCTGTGTGTCAGGACCTGATGCGAAGGTTGCTGGGCTGTGCCAACGTTCGCCAAGGTTTGTTGTGTCACTGTAATTACAGGGTGAACGCAGCCGCGTTCCTGGGTGTAAATAAAGCCGTCAGAGCCCACTCGGAGCCGTTGCTTCCCATTAGGGAAATGCTAGGTTTCTTCTCATGATGAGCAGCCGCGACACGGTGCCTCCAAACCCCAAGACGCAGCTCCCCTGAGAGACGAGGCCTAGTGTCCAACTGAGAGAGAGCCTCTTCATTTAGTTTTTGCTTGTGTGAACCTATTTCTCCTCTCCTCAGAGAGCTGAGAAGTAGCGGAAGCCTTCGGCCTCACTTCTCCCTAACGGTTATTAAGCAACAGGTGGACATGGAGGTTCACAAAGGCTCTTGTTGGAGCCGCCAGTGACCAAATGACCCCCAGCACAGCTGTAGAGGAGGAAGAGTTGATATGGGGGTCAAGGTTTCAGAGGTCTCAGTCCACAGATAGCGGGTTCCATTCCTCAGGACTCCAGGTGAGGCTGAACAACACGGAGGAAGAGGATGGCAGAGGGAAACAGCTCAGGTGGCGATCAGGAAGCAGAGAGAGAGAGAGAGAGAGAGAGAGAGAGAGAGAGAGACTCCACTCCCCAGAAACAAAATATATACCCCAAAGCCATGCCCACCTCCTCCAGCCACATCCCACTACTTCAGTTACCTCCCAGCTAATCCCATCCAGGATGAATTCGCTGATTGGGTTAAGACTCTCACAACCCAATCATTTCTCCTCTGCACCTTCTTGCATTGTCTCATGTGTGAGCTTTTGGGGGTCACCTCACCTCCAAACCATAACAGCTCTAGGCTCGGATGTGCCAGAAGGAAAAGATGTTTTCTACCTACTGAAATTTTTTTTTCACCCAAATTGCTAAGTACTGCAGATAATTCTAGCCCTAGAGGTTTTGCAGAGATGATTTGAAAGGTTTCCATCTAAACCCTCCGGTGTTATAGATAATGGGAGCTCAGACACCTCTGCGGAAATGATCACCTACACTCTGTGTTCTCCGTACGTCTCTCTCCTCCTGTTTCCTACTCACAGTCTCTTAGTGCTTTATTCTCGTCCAAAAAGACACAGGCCTGTTCTCTTCATAAGATGCTTATGAAAAATAACCAATTATCAAGTGAAGACAGCCTTCTTAAGTGTGGAGAGATGCAGAATTTTATGATAGAATTCTGGTATAGCCTGATTGTTTTGGGTGGTTGTTGTCAATGGTTAAATAAGTTTATGAAGGAGTGATAACGGGAAGTTGGTGAAGGTAGAAGGAAGAAAATAATAAGGTTTTGTTGTTTTGGTTTTTGTTTCTGTTCTTTGTACAAGAGATTGAACACATGGACACTTTACCACTGAACCACATCCCCTTTTTATTTATTTTTTATTTTTAGACAGGGTCTCACTAAATTCCTTAGGACCTCACTAAGTTTCTGAGGTGGCCTTTGAACTTGTGATCCTCCTGCCTCAGCCTCCTGAGTTGCTGGGATTACAGATGTGTACCACTATGCCTGGCTGAAAATGGTTCTTACTGCCTGTCTTAGCTCATTTTTCTGCTACTATAACAGACCACCACAGACTCAGTAAATTATAAATAATAAAAGTTTATTCTGCTCATGGTCATAAAGGCTGGAAAGTCCAAAACCAAGGGACTAGATTTGTAAGGACCTTCTTGCTTCCTCACCCCATGGTGGAAGGTGGAAGGGCCAAGGAAAGGGGAAGGGAGAGGAAGGGTTCCTTTTTATCAAGAACCCAGAAGCCAGCCCAGCAATAACTCACTCCTGTGAAAATGACAGGCGTCTCATAAGGTTCTCACTCTCAAAATTGCTGTATGGGAGATTGTCCCATAAACTGTAGTAGACACATTCCCACCACAGCTCTGCCGTTGTCCCTCAGTGGTAGCCAGCCACCCACACTAGACACGGTGAGATCAACTTCTGCCTTCTGACCTGGATGTCTCAGACACTGGTTTTGGTCATCTGTCTCCATTTGAAACAAGTTTTATGACTTCACGACATGCTGGAGCCTGAGAATTAGGATGGGGCTTGTGGGCTTCGAGTTTGTTGGTAAAGTTTTTTTGGAAGATCTTTGGTGACTATTTGAAAAAAATGATTGCAATGATGATATTGTGATTGGACTCTGCGAGGGAGGTCTGAAGGGTGTCCTGTGGAGTACATAAAACCTATCTTTTGCTTAGATTGTTTCCAACTGGATGGTTTCTAGTCCAATCAATTTGATACAAGAATTACTGAAAACAAAAATATCGCTTTTTGTGCAATCTTCACAGACTACGAAGCACAGAAGGCCATTCAAGACTGGATCCTGCAGATGAGGAAGACGTGGACAGACACAGGGAAGAGGAGCAGGAGAAGGAAATACAAATCTTGCTGCAAGTATCAGTGAGTCGCACCAGCTCTGGCCTCTTCCTTGTCCACAATCAGGTGGCCACAGGGACTCTGAGTTCACAGGGTACAACCTTGGGATTTTTACAGCTGCGTGGGGAGGCAACGCTCATCCAGAGAGGCTGGGGCAGAGTCAGGGAGATACTACCGGGTACCCATGACTGCTAAACAGCAAGTTGCTGCATCAGGTGAACTCTTAAGCAATTTTTGAGAAAATGGATTTTCTAGTTTGCAATCAATAGGAAAGATCATTTCTTCATGAAATTTATTTTGAAAATATTTACCGCAGGCCTCCTTAAATGTATCTTATGTTATGAGCCTTAATAAAACCCTCTTTAACCTCAGGATGAGTGAGATCAGCCAGACTCAGAAAGTCAAGGGTTGAATGTTTTTCCCCAGATGTGGAAATGAGAGAGAGAGGAAAAAAAGGAATAAAAGAGGGATCTCATGAAACTAGAAAGGAGGCTAAGAAAGTAGGAGAAGGGATCAAGAGGGAGGGAGGGGAAGGGGGCGTGGGGAAGCACTGGGAAGCAAATCATGCTCTGTCCATGCACAAGTCCACCACCATGAATCCACTTATCTATAGTTATAATAGCACACTGATTAAAATTACAATAATAATAGAAAGGAGAGCAGTAGAGAAGAGCAAGCAGATCAGGAGGAGGGAGAAAGGGTAGGGGAGAGAAGGTGCTGGGGAATGAGATTGATCAAACTCTGTTACATGTGTAAGTATGGCAGCATGAATCCCACTACCATGCATAATCATAATGCACCCAGGAAAACGGTAACTTCAAAAATCCTCTTAAGTGATAATGTACTTGATTTTTATTCACTACTATTTTAGAGTTCTTCTGATATTATTTGATGACTTGTTACCATGGAAGAAATGCATACATAGCTGGGATGATGTAATAACCAAACCTAAATAATTTTAAAATAAAAAGCAAAACAAAAACCCATTTTCTATGAGCCATTGATAAAAACATACATTTGCAGAAACTTGGGGATTATTAAATAATGCTCATCACTTCTTTCTCTCCGGGACACATAAACACACACACACACCCTTACACACACAGAATTTATTCCAGTATTTAGGAAATCTTCCAAGAACATTTCCCAAACATCATTGTGTGTGTGTGTGTGTTAGATTTTCACTTTAAATCCTTTTCCTTTGGTTTTACATTTCTTAAAGTGTTGTCATTCCCAACAGCATCCCAGAACATTGGCTCCTCCTTCCTTTGGACGCTCTGCTTTCCTGGGTCGGGGGCTGTATCTGTTGTATTTCCATTGCTGTGGCAAAATACCTGAGACAATCAACTTAAAGGAGAAAAGGTTTAGTTTGGCTCCTGGTTTCAGCATTTTCAGCCCATGGTGGGTTGGCTCTGCTGCTTTTGAGCCTGTCACGTGGCAGCACATCATGGTGAGGGCACATGGTGGGACAAAGCTGTTCACTTCCCAGAGGCCAGGAAATGAAGAGAGAAGGGCATATCCTATTCAAGGGTGCGCTCCCAATGACCTAAAAGCCTTCCACTAGGCTCCGCCTCCTGCAGGTCCTACCACCTTATAGGGCCACGGGCTGGGGACCAAGCATTTAGTACATGGGCATTTGGGGGCCATTCAAGAGCCAAGCTCTAGCAGGGAGGCCCAGCTTCTCTTGGTTTTTGTCCTCCTCTGCAGCTTCCCCAGTTCTGCCTCCTTTATCTCCCCGCTCTGTGTGCTCTATAAATGCTCCCCTTGCCTACGGCCCCAGAGCCAGGGTTTCTCTCTGGGTGACCTCCCAAGGTGATGGCTTTCATCCTGGAGACATGTAATGCCTTCTGGGTGTGACAAAATGACCTTCCAATTCGTGAAAATCATTCGCGAGTTTATTCATTCGTTCAATAGTTTTATGTTCTAGGTACTCTTTGGGGTGGGGTGGAGCTCCTTGTTAGGAGCTTATAGCTAGACATTAATCCCAGGGTCCTGAATCACATGGAAATCTTCCAGAGTGAGAAGAGCTATAAAGGGAGGATAATGTGTCCTGAATACATAGTTTGGGCATTAGATTTCCAAAAGTAGGTCAGGGAAGGCTTCCCGAGGTAATGTGCAGAGTAATTTGGAAACTGAAGGATGAGCCTGGATTCACTCTGAGGAGAGGAGGAAAGGGCCTCTGGCCACAGGGAAGCAGAACTGGAGGAGGTTCCGTGGACAAGGAGACGCTAAGGAGGCCAGCAGGGCCAGGAGGGCTGCAGTGCACCTGGCTGGAGAGGGACTGCGGGGGCTGGCCTGCTCGGGGGGCTGCCTGCTGGCAGAACCGGAACCCTGCCCTGCAGGAGCAACGGCAGTGTGCAGCCCTGGGAGGGTTGGTCAATGAGGCAGCAGGACAGGGCATTCGAGGGCGAAGGTGGCATTTCCTAAAGATCCATGGGGGGGCGGCGTGTGTATGAGCAAGAGGACACCTTGGTGGATCCCCAGGAAAACTGGCGATCGGTCAAAGGCAGTGGCCACTTCCTGTTCCCTCCGCCTGAAAGTCCCAACCAGGTTATCAAATGACTGTCTGCTTCTCATCCTTCAGTCTTAGCTTAGTTCCATTCTATTATCTTTTCCTCAAAAACCAAACCAAACCAAACACCCAAACAATGACAACAAACGAAAATTCTCTTGGATGCTCCATATATTGTTGCTCCTTCCCTCTTGCCCCTTATAATCTGACCCTTGATTTTGAGCTTCCTACTGGCAGCCTTCCCACGATCCGATACTGCAGTATGTTTATGGTTCTTAGTTCATTTCCTTCTCCTCCCCGTCAGCCTCCACAGAGCAGGAGACTCTCCTTGATCATGCACCACTCTGTCCCCACTGCATACACTTGGGATATGGTAGACATGCCACACCATTGATGTCGTGAATGAAAGGGGACGGTCAACACATTGCAGAGGTATCAAGGAGGAAAACCACACAGAGTCAGTCAGAGATTGGCAGCTGCAGTGGAAGAAGGCACCAGGGAAGAGATAGGCGTCCTCCACTGTCCCCATGAGTCTGTAGTTGGGACCGACAGTAAAAGAGCCCGATGAATGAGAGACGCATAAGCAAGTTCATTGACGTGTGCAGTGTCCGTTCTCTGTGAGAGGCTCAGGGACAAAGCACCCCAAGCAGCGGCTTAGAATTCTGGCCTGTAGAACATCTTCAACGGAGGCCAGAACACGGGAGGCCTCTGTCTTGGGGAATCTGTTCCCTGCTTTTAGGCAAAGAGAGGGAGGGCAGAATGCTCTTCTTCCCTCGCTTCTTCTGAGTTTTCTTCGGCTCCTTAGTCTTTCCATTTTGGGGGAGATGTGTCGCAGTCTCCCACAAAGGCTTCAGGGACTGCTTCTTGGCTTGCATCACTGGTGGAAAGGGAACCGAGAGGCTCTGTGGTGTGAGCGAGGCTGGCAGTGTCTGGACTGAACAAACAAATGTGTGGCTCAGTGAAGCAGGATACGCGCATGATGGCAAAGTAACAGCACTGGGGATTTGTCAGAGCCTAGGAGTGGTTGTCGGGGCCCATAGTTTAGGGTTGGAAGGACACCGTGTTCCAGTTTCATTAGACTCAGCAAAACAAACAGAAAAAGAGATGAGGGCCCCGGATTTCCTACCTGCGCCGTGAGCTTCTCTCTCTGGCCCTGCCGGGCCACCCCCTGGAGGGGATCTGCAGCAAGTCTCTGTTCTCCAGGAAGCAGGGCCTGGCAAGCTGCGGGATTCTGGAACATCTCACTCTTGCTGATTAAACCCTGCGGCCTGCAGGGAGCCCTCTTGTCCCTGGCACGCACCTTCTGGAAATAAAACCCAGAAGAGCCCAAGCAGAGTCGTAGGAGGAAAAATGCTCATCCGTCCTCTGATGTGAGAAGAGAAAACATCATCAAGTCCCCGGCAAATGAAAAGACAGACGGGTTTGATTTCCCCTGGGGGGATGTTCAGCAGGCGGATTTGTCTATTTTGCCTCTGCTAAAGAGTCAAGCTCTCTCCAGGGAACCATAAATCCCGCTCCCTTCTGCCAAAGCCCTCCCTCTCCCTCAGAGCCAGCACTTGATTCACATCAGAGGTTTCCTTTTACATTTTCCCCCAGGCATTTTCTTCCTGGTCATTGGAAATTATCCTTAAATAGTTAAAAAAAAAAAAGAAAACAAAAAGAAAAACAATGAAATGCTTAAGTTGCCCTGGATGGAAAGCAAAACCTAGAAAATTCTATGTATTCAGTCATAGAAGAAGGAGATGAACTGATCAGTGGGCAAAATGGAGGAACACAGACGGCAGTCAGGACATGGCCCTGCGGTGGTCGTGTGACATGGAAACTGACAAAGTCCAAAACAGTGTGGCCTGGGAAGACGGGGTGAGGAAGAGGGCAGCACATTGATAATATTGATCCTTTCCCAATACATTCTTTCCTTAGAAAGGATGGAAACATCATCGGGTGACAAGCCCGTCCCTGGGGAGGGAATACCCATCGAGCCTGGACGGGCAGTCTTTGGGAAGCAGCCAACACATCGATCCTTCCCCAAACCCATCCCTTCCCAGTGACGTACAAGGGGACTCTGGAGGGAAAGAGATACTGAACCCTGACCCCAGACTCTCCATTACGCATGCTCTGTCAATAACTCAGTCACCTCTCAGGGTCACCTGTGTAAGTCCAGACCCCCCCCCCCACTTTCGCCAGTGGCTCATTTTCCATCCGTGACTCCATCACGGAATAAAGGCTGTCCTGATCCGTGAAGTCTGCACTGGATCGTCATTTTGCACTCACAGTGGTGGTGACAGAGTGATTGAGGAGGGGCACAAAGGGACTTTCTGGGATGACAGCACATGGGTTGTACAGGAGTATGCACTTGTCGAAACTCATCGAATGGTCCTTTCAAGAGGCCCACTTTTCATCTCTGTGTCACATTTGCCTCAAAAAAATATAGAGCACATTCACACGGGACTCAAGTCAATGTGCAGATGTCAAAAGGGGAAGGGTCCTGAGGTCTCTGATTTGGTTGAGAATGCATCTCAGATGCGAGATCAAGGAAGGCCTGAACTCACGGGCACATCAGTTAATAACCAAATACTCTAGTTGTGTTTCAAGGATGATTTGAGAGCCGCTGCACAGAAATCAAGCTTGTCTGGCCAATGGCCTTTGGATGTCACAGGCTGCAACCCCGCCTCCCCCACAGAACAGATTACCACCCCCCCCCAAGAAACACGTGACCTGCAAAGAGGCAGGATAATCCACACCTGAGCCAAGGTGCCCTGACCGACTCTGCCTGCTCACCACCCAATCAACGAGCAGGATCCCCCTGTCTCTTCCTACAGCCGACCAATCAGCGAGGCAGAGCGGAGCTGGGTTTCCTTGGTCCCTCCTGGTTTCCTTGCTGGTTGACGTGTGAGGTTTCATGTTTTGTTAAAGCTCAGTGCCATGGTACCAGCTTTTATGTGCTCTGGGCAGCTGCCCTTCTTGGGTATCAAAAGGAGGTGGAGGGTGGCTTGGGGGAGGGAGGGTGGATGAATGGATGGGCAAGCGCCAGGGTCCTAAGGTGAGGGGTGGAGACTGAGCAGGGGCTCAGGACACATTCCAGCTGCAATTCTGACCGCCTTTCTGTGTCTGAAGAGTTTCCAAATAAAATGACCATTTCCCGTTAACTGTCTCTTTTCTTCTTAGAGATGTCAGGATCATAATCGCCAGAGGTTTTTCTGCTTTAGGTTTCTGACTTAGATGCTTAACGCACAGTATTCCAATTGTAAGTCCTAGCTTACAGTTGAATCAAGGTGTCTGGGAAAAGAAATGAACTGATGGTTCCACAGGTATGAGACAGTCTAGAGTTTCATCAAGACAGCAGTGGTGTTAGTGTAACCTTAGCACAACCCCCTCCCTGCTTTTTAAATATGTTTTTAGTTGTTGATGGACCTTTATTTAATTAATTGACTTATATGTGGTGCTGAGAATCAAACCCAGTGCCTCAGACCTACTGGGCAAGCGCTCTATCACTGAGCCCCAGCACAAACCCTTTTGTATTCAGGGGAGGAGTGGTTGATCTCACAGGAGACACCACCAGAATCCACACAGCATGCCAGGTTCACCCTCTGCACCCACA